ACATATTTATTAACCTCTTTTATTTTTCTTTCAGATGTTGTTCAGACATCTTTGGGCTTTTCCTTCTATTTTTATGCATTTTACAGGTTCTTGTGATTTTTTTCAGTGGTTGTTTTGAGTTGTGAATATGTTTACTAATGCTTCAGATGTTCAAAAATCTATAGGCTTTTTCTTTTGTTATTATATGCATTACAGGATCATGTGATTCTTTCTGTTGGTTTTTTGTTTTGTGAATATACTAATACATTTTTTTTTCTTTCAGGTGTTGTTCAAGCATCTTCAGGCTTTCCCTCTTAATTCTTTGGTGCATTACAAGGCATATGATTTCTTTAGTTAGTTGTTTTGGCTTTTAGCACATTTACTAATGTTCTTTCTTTTCTAAGTTAAGAGCGTCTTTGGGTTTTCTTAAAATTCTAATGAGTATGGTTTCAATTGTTTGATGCTTTTGTTTTTGGATCATTTAACTAACATTCTTATTCTTATCTAAATATTATTTGAAGGCATTTGATCTGATTTATAAATATGTTTTCTAACATCTTTTTCTGTTTCTGAGTATCAGCCAGATGCATATTTTTCTTTGCATTAACATTCAAGTAGATTGTTCAAGTGGTATAACCTACACCTCTATTTTTTAGTGCTGCCAGAATGAGTTTGTTGCTAGTGTTTTTTGTTATGTTGTTGTTGTTTTTGGTATTGCTGCTGCAGATGGGCTTTGTCATTAAATAGCTTTATCATTTTTTAGTGTTTTATCAATGTTTTGCTATTTTGGTGTTATAATGATACTTTATTGCATTGTTGACATTCAGTACACAACACTTGCAAAATGTTTATAGAAATTAAAGTTAGATTTAAGTATATAAATTTTTTCACAGACAACATTCTTAAATTTGAGAAATTAATTCTAAGAAAGAGCTTTTAGCATATTATTCTATCATAAAGAATGAGGCTTTTACATTTTCTGTAAGTTTCAATTTGTTATTTTGTTACAAGAAATTATAGCTACTAAATATTACAATCTCTTTCTTCTTATTATAAGCCTTTTTCTCATATAATTATTCTTCAGATGTTTGGATTTCACGTTGTTTACTTTGTTTATTATAATTTGGGTGACAAGTTATAACTAAATATTCATAGCCTTGATCATGGTAGCATTTTTTATCATGAGAATTTATAAAACACATGTTATATTAAAGATAAGTTCAAATTTATATTTATTATTATTTAATGTCTCTTATTATAGATTATTTTAATCGTGATACTTAGTAGCATAGGACTTTTATTAATCAATGTATTTAATGAGTTTTGAACATATAATATTATTTAAATACCTAATATTAAATTCTAATAATTTGGTATACAGTATAAATATAAAGTTTATTATTCAAACTTTTAATATCGTGGCATAATATTTTAATTTAGTGATTAAATGTAGCTTAATATCACTTGGTATCATTATTTAATTTTGTAAAATTTATAATTATTTATAATTTATTATTTATATAAATAAATAATAAATAAAAATTTTTATTTTTCAAAATTTCAAAATTACAATATTGACTTTAGTTATATATTCGTTATTTACAATTTAAATTGAACTGTTATTTATATTTCAAAAGTGATATAAACAAATGCAAAATGGCAGCTAAAGCTAGAAAGTATAAATTTTTTAACATATCGATCATTGCCCAAAGTAATCTTGTAGCAATAAATTAAGATACAGTTAACAATCATAATATTATATTCTTCAGAGAAGCTAAATCATGATAAGATGTTGGATCAGCACATATCAATCTAATCAAAATTTAAAAAGGTCGGTCATTATGCATCATCAAAATAATTTTCAAAATCTAATTATTATTAAAATATAATTTCTAGAAGTGAGAGCTGCACTAAAAATCATCTGAATAAAGAGCCCATGATCAAAAAATTGTAATGCCACAATGATTGGTATTATAAATTTCAGTTTTAACACAAAAGACTTATTGGCTGAATTGAAATAAACAAAAGATAAAAACAGACACAAATTCAAAGACTTCTTAATAAAATTATATGAGACAGTATATAAAAGAAAGTAATAGACTTAAACTAAATGAAATAGAAGAAAATCATTAATTGGTGATTATAATTTCTAAAATGAAATTAAGACAAAAAACTTGAAAATGTCTTATCACTTAAAAAAGAAAATCTGTAATAATTTTACAAGTTTTGGCTATAAAAAGTATAATACCATTAACCAACCTCTTATATCCTTTACTAATCATCTTTAGAAAGAACATAACTTTTCAACAAATTGCACCCCAAATCCTATATCAAAGAAGGGCTAATGCCATTATAATCGAGATTACAAACAATTTACTTATGATATATGAGGCTTGTCTGCTGGTAGTGATAAATAGCCAAGAAAATAAACATAAAATTAAGAATGCCTCAATAGAATTACATATATTTAAGGGCTTAGAGCAAAGAAAAAGAAAAAAAATACCAATAATTAGTAGCTGTAATTCTTTTAATAACATTACAATGAAAACTTACATGTAATACTGAAAAGCCTTATTCTTTAGTGAAAATTCTCTTATAATTTTAAAGAATCCTAACTGTAGTCAAAATAGGATAGTAAACCAAAACCCCTATTTATTAGAGAGAGATCTATTAAAAATTTAAGAATTTAGTTATAAACAAGATAAAATAATTGAACCAAGCCTCTTATATCCTCTTACTTACCCAAAGTTATAAAAGGGCTATAATTTCTTCTTTGTAAAAAAGCAGTGCCTTTGGGCTAAAACCTATTAAAAAAAATATAAAGTTTGATTCATAAACTAAAGTTCTCAAATTTATCTCAACAAATTATATCACATCTTTAAAAATTGCCTTATCTTATATTATAACATCATCAAATATTTTTGGTAGAAACAAATCTGATTAACTAAACCTAATAGATAGTTAATTTAGTACCATATTAGATAAATATATATCAATGCTATAAATTCTTTTATTGGCCTAACCAAATTAGTAATTATAAAATTAGAATTTTTATTTTATTATAACTAAGAAAATAGAAGAAATTTGTGAAATTGTACTTTCCTAAAAAGGAATAGATAAGATTAATATCTGTAGTTATTTAATGGTGAAGAAATGAAGTCAGGAGGATAAGTTCTATTAGTGCTGTGAAAAAAGAAAATCAAACAAATACAAAGGTTATGCTACAACAGTACTTATTAATAATTTATATTACCTTCAAAAATTTAATGAACATAATCATGCTCTACAAGTCAGCAGCACTGAAGTTGCAAGAAGTATTACTTATATAAGAGATCAAGCTCAGGAAACCCAAGACCAGCCAGCTCAAATAATTTAAAATGCAATCATTAGCATCCTAAGGGAAATCTATTCCTATGTTCCATCGCAAAATGCTTTGTGCATTTAAATTAAACATATTAGAAGAGCAAACATGCTTCTGCAACCTCAAAAACTAGATGATATTAATATTTCTGATTCACTTTGTTCAACATTAAGTAGTGAAAATTTTTTAGTAAGAGATTCCATAATTGAAAAAGAATGAATTCTTTTGTTTACCACAAAGGCTAATATAAAGCACTTATCTGATTCCTTATACTAGATGATGGATAGTACCTTTAAGACTGCTCCAACTATTTTTTATCAATTGTATACAATTCATGCACTTGTTGGTGCAGGGGATAATTCAAGAGTTCTTTCTTTAGTATATATATTAATGACAAAAAAATCAGAATTTTTATATAGAGCACTATTTCAAGATTTAATTAAATTTGCAGAAGAAAATAATATTTTATTAAGCCTTATAACAATTCTTACAGACTTTGAACTTGCTGCAATAAATGCATCATGTATTGAATTTCCTAATGTTAATAATAAGTGTTGCTTCTTTTATTTAAAACAAAGTGGCTAGAGAAAAATTCAAGAGAACAAACTATCAACTTATTATGGTCTTAACAAGAATTTTAGTATAAAACTGTATTAGTTGTTTGCATTAGCATTTTTACCATCAAATGAAATTTCTGCAACATTTGATGTTTTAAAAAAGAAAATGCCTATAGAAACCAAGAAGGTAGTAAAATAGTTTGAAGAAAATTACATTCACAGGAAACAAATATAACAAATGTGTAATGGTAATATTAGCTATTTATCACTCTTTTTCTCATCACAAATGTGGTCTGTGTATAACTCCATAGAAGCAGGTATTCCTCGAACACAGAACATTGTTAAAGCATAAAAATAGAAGGAAAAGCCCAAAGATGTCTGAACAACATCTGAAAGAAAAATAAAAGAGGTTAATAAATATGT